GTTCACCCAGGCCCATTCCTCAAGCTTGTCCGGGTTCCTCTGGATGACATCCCGTCCCTCAGGCGTGTCAACCGCACCACTCAGCTTGGTGTCATCACAAGGAGGTGCAACACAACCGCACCAATCTCAAGAAGGACAGATCTCCCAAAATCTCTTTGGTCAAACCTTTAGCTCCCTCATGAAGCATGAAAAAGGAGAAACGCAGGGAGAAGATCAAGGCATCACCATTATGCAAGCAATCCCAGAACACAAAACAAGATCACAGACTGGCAGGGGAATACTGACAATTTATTTCATAGAGCATTGCAGATTTTATTTTGGTCTAGATCTATTTTCATCAAAAAAGTATCATCTTTTAAAAAAAAACAGTAGCAAATATTCAGGACGATAACGCTAACAGTCAGTGCATTACGCATAAAGTTTGGGTCTCAAAAAAAAGAAAAAAAAAGTTAACTGTGAAAACAACTCTTTGTTGGATCGCTTTTAACACTTCCAAGCTTTTAAGAACTTGACCTTTCAATAAAGTCATCTCCGAGGATAAAAATATAACATGCAGGTGATTATCAACAGATGCTGAGATTTAACATCTCTCACTTGGCAATGACAATCCACCGGGAATGTTTCAATACAGCACCACATTAAAGGGAGAAGCAACTTTGTTCTGAAAAGCCTTTAAATCCACCAAAATCTTGCAGTTGTGCAGAAAAAACACACTGTGTTTCACAGACTTGAGAGAATACCAAACAGAAGGACAGTATTTGGGGAAGGTAAGAGGGAGCTGGACCAGGGTCTTACTCCACTTACATTCATAAAAACCCAGAGTAGATGCAAATGAATTAAAGTCTTGATTTGCACTGCTTAGGAGGTGCTTATTAAAGCATCACAATTCATGTTTTCATTATTAATAGGGGTATTTTTCTCTTACATAGATAAGTCGGCCATTTCTGCCCCCAATTCTTACACACCAAGCCCAAGACTTGAGGGTTTCAAAACGCTACTGGAGTACAGCTAAAAAAAAAAAAAAAAAAGAAGAGGTTCAGTGCTGCCAAAACAAGAACAAACTGCTCGAGGTTGTTTTTATTGTGGCTTGTTTCTGGCCTTTTCAAGGCTGTTTTGTGTGTTGAACGTGGTGCACATCAGCATCCCCCAGACCACCTTCTCCTCTGCAAGGTGACTTCTCCCAGACGCTCACAGGCTCTACAACCCGGCTTGGCCAGCTCCCAAAGACTCAGCTCCCATTCCCTCCACCGTAAACACCTTTGATGGTCCCATCGCTTTCAAGGCAGTGCACACCAAGCTTCAAAAGGAAGCTCGCACTCAATAGGATTTCTCACGTTGCACGTTGTGTCGACAAGGATCCAGCGAGGAAGGGAGCAACCCAACACCAGAAGGCCACGGGGACTGAGCCAAGACCCATTCACAGCTCCGGCAGCCTTCCGGCTGGCTTCAGCTGCCTTGGGAACCAGCTACTTGCGAACAGCAAAATGACCCAAAAACAGGCTCCTCTCCACAAGGCCTTGAAGGTCAAGAGCAGGGAGCTGAGACTGCCCTTGGGCTGGCTGTGAGCTCTTTAAGGGAGAGGATAAAATGCAATTGTCATCTATATGGTTTCTGAGCTTGCCTTTTTTTTTTTTTTTCTTTTAACCTCTGGTGTAGGATTTTGGTTTAAAGCCTTTTGCATTGGAAACAAGCTCTTGCCTTCATGAGCCTGTCCGTAGTCATGAGCCGGCCCGTAGCCGCTGCAAGACCATCACTCCTTTGGAGGACACAAACATGCAGCTTTAAAGATCCTGCTTTTAAAGCAAGGAGGAAAGGTCTCCTTGCAGGAATAAATTATACTCCGGGGCTGCTTCGCCTTCCAAACTATTTACAACTCCTCCACCCACGGGCATCTCCTTGGTGCAGAGAGGGGAAGTTCACACTGCTCCACCACCCTCTCCACGGGTGCAAGGACAGGGAAGCAAAGAGCGACTGCAAATGCCACTTGGAGTGGCAGGCACTTCAGCCAGATCCGAGCGGTGATGGTGCCCATGGCATTGCTTTTTGCAAGCCATCCAGGCTCCCGGCAGAGCCCAACTCAGGGAGAAGATAGAAAGGAAAAAAAAGGGCGGGGGGGGGGGAATCAAAAGTGAAAGCATCGCTGCCAACCGAGGCCAATCTACAGCCAACGCTTAGGATTTGCCTTCAAGACTGCGGCAGGACATGTCAAGAAGGCCATGCCCCTGCGAGTGGCCAGGCTTTGGAAGGAGGGTGGGACAAGAGAAGGTGCCGAAGTGTCTGAGCCAGTGTGACCCCTTCCCTGGCTCTGAACTCCAGCAGGGAAGAGCAGTGCTATCTCCTCTCCCAGGAAAGCCTCTCTCCTCCAAACAGCCTTTGGTTGCATTAGAGCTAAAACTTCATTGCCCAGGAAAGGGGAGGAAACAACAACAAAAAAAAACGTAACAAAAACGACACTTCACGAGAACATCACAACACTCAGCTACAGTCGCTGCACCAAGGAAGGTGTGGAGCAGGGCAAGGGGGAGAAAGGGGAGACACATCCAACGTGTTTTTCCCAGCACCCCCCTAAGGGGAATCAGGCTGTCACGTGAAGATTCAAATAACTTCAGCCATAAGGTCAAGAGTTTAATGAACACGGAATTTCCACTCATGCCCTGGAAAAATTACACTCAAAAAAAGAAAGACAAAAATTTTCAGATTTTCTACATATTTACAAAAAATAAGCCCCCCAACCCCACAACCAGGGAGGCGGAGCAGCTAGTGATGGGCTATGGGAAGGGGTCTCTGCCTGACCAGCAGTTCCTTAAAGGTTCCCATCCCGCAGCAAGCAGGAGAGCACGGCTCTCGCTGCCAGAGGGGACGCGGGGGGCAGCACGCGCCGGGGTTGGACCGGAGCCCCTCAGTTCATCCGCAGCTTGGTGTCCCGATGATCCGTGGGCGTGACCATCTCGTTGGCATAGCCATTCTCGGAGCAGAGAGACAGCTCGTCCGTGGTCTCCACGCCATTGTTGATCTCTAGGGAGGGTAGAGAAAGCAGGGACATAGTCACAGGAGTGCAAGTCCCAGGAGCGCCCCATGGATGGGGAAACTGAGGCACTGAGCAGCCGTGCCGTTCCAGCACATGGAATCCATCTGATCCTACAGGGATTTCACCACAGGTTTAGTAACACTGCACCCATTTAGCACCAATTCTGAACCGGACCTGCCTCTAAATAGGAGCTCACCAAATTTCAGACCTTGACAACCCTGCCACCATCAGAGGCAAAACTGGACCCCCCATAAACATGACATTATGTCACAGGCTGAATTATAGGGCAGAGTTCTATAGTCACTGGTTTCACTGGGAAAAAGGTGCAACTACCAACATTTTGATTGTGAACACCCACCCTAAGCAAGAATATTTGTTTCAGAGGCACAAAACTTGGACATGTATCCCCTACCTCTAAAGATATTTTATGTCTAGGACATATTATGTCTAGGACATATTGGGGAGGCTTAATTCTGTTGTGACCAACTGCTTTCCCTCTCTGGCTTCCATGGGTTTACACCTGATTTTCACCCTCTCTGGAGGGCAGAATCAGGCCTGCATTTCACACAGGAAGCTCTCTGAAGCAAAAGTTGTCATTTTGCTGTGTACATGCCCACTACAGTAAACCCTGATTCCTGCCGGAGGTCTCTAGCCGCTAAATACAAAGAAAGAAGACCCATAATAAAGCTCAAGGGGAGATTATATTCACATTCCTGCAAACGTGAGTTTCCCAGATTAAAGCACCAACTTCGGTCTTTTAAAGCGAAATGTTTCACTCTTTGTACACATTTCTGAGATCTTCGTAGAGGTGGGGTGAGATGGACACATTGTCAGCATGTTCCAACACAAAGAAACACTAGGAGGAGCAAAGGATGTGAGGAACCTCTCAACCAACAGTGCCACTGAATTCCACATCTACCACTATTTGTGGTGACCTATGACGTTATTTTAGTGGGTATTACAGCTCTTGACACACTGTTGACAATTGAGAGCAGAGATGATGTGGGACAGCACAAGAGAGCTGCATGGCGTAACTTGGGAAGGTAAATGCTGGATTTCTGAGCAGATCAGTGCTCAGACCTGCACCAGAAGACATCCAACAAGTGGTTCAGTATAGCAGGGTCAGTGTAGTCACCCTGTCCACCAACAGGAGATGACACCTTCTTCCATCATCAGAGAGCTCCAGTAAGGGATAGAGCGAAGGGCTCTGACCAACCAGACCCATCCATACCTGAGAAGATCAGCTTCTCCTTCATGATCTTGACATCCCGGCTGGACCTGCGGACAGCAGCGCTGAGCATGATCTGCTCTGGGTTGTAGGTCCTGATGCTTCCTAGGCGCCACCTGCAAGACAAGAGGGGAATATCAGGGGCTGCTCTCCCCAATCACAGGAGCATCCTCAATGCAAGTGGCCACCAACAATGTGGAGACCAATAAGTCCCAGAGACCCTCACATCTTTGATCCCTTGAACCTACACAACCCCGCGTGGTAGGAGGATGCTCAGAGATGAGCATTTTCTCTCAGAGGGGTACACACATACAAGCAGGTCATCTTTAACCACCTTGAGCATCTTAATTCCACTATTTCACCAAGGACTGCAGATGCCCCAAGCCCCTCTCTATCACATCAGCTGCCCAAAGGAGGTAGGGCTATTTTGACTCTTACGGTTGGAAATAGGGAACAGAGCAAGAGACCAAGCCATAACCTTTTCCTCACTGAGTGACATGCTCACACTTATGGGAGAAGAGAGCTCAAAGACAATTTAAGGTCTCAAACCTGAGAGACAGCAAGGATGCCTACATGAACTGCTCTGCAGTCCCAGTGCAGGTAGCTGTCACATACAGTGCCCTCAAAAGTCATTTCTCCTGGTGCACTTCCCTCCCCAAATGCTAGGTCTTTACTTCAATGTTTCTACACAGTCCCTCCACTTTTTAAGTCTTGATGAAACTCAGTATTCACCAAAAGTTTCCACCACATGAACAATATGAGGCTGATGGAAACTTGGCTTGACTTAAAATTAGTCAGGCTTTTATTCTGATTACTGAATGCATGTAAAGAAAGTTACTGACATTAGTAATACGCAATGGCGGTAAGTTCAAGGATTTTGCTTCTAAAGATGTTTTTCAGCCTGAAAGCACCCCTGTAGCAGACTCTCAGCTGCAGAGCTGCTGGCATTAGGCGTAAAGAAAGTTACTGACATTAGTAATATGCAATGGCAGTAAGTTCAAGGATTTTGCTTCTAAAGCTGTTTTTCAGCCTGAAAGCACCCCTGTAGCAAGACTCTCAGCTGCAGAGCTGCTGGCATTAGGAGTGAAAGGTGGGCTGCTGCTGCAACAGGGGAAAATGGGATCCATCCAAAAACATGGACCCATTGCAAAGAGATGCTGTGTAGGCCAGGCTTTCATAGCCCACCGATTCATCCTACCTTCTGACGAGAGGGGAGGGCTTTCAAGCCCCATTCTCCCTGCTGGAGCCAGGAATGTTACAAGGCTGTTGATGGAGCAGGTATTTAGGGTTTATGGGGTTTATGATCTTCTGGCACCATCTAGTGGCCCACCCACACAAGAG